ATATATACGTTTGATCTATATATATATGTGTATGTATGTATGTATGTATGTATGTGTGCATGTGTGTGTGTGTGTATATGTATGTATGTATGTATGTATGTATATATATACATATATGTATGTGTGTGTACCTGCATGTTTCTGTAAAACTCTTAGTATGCAAGAGGTGATGTGAGTGTACCTATTGAATACACCTGCGTTACAATGAAAACTGTAGAGTCATTTACATATATGGATGGATATATACGTTTGATCGTGCATGTATTGTACTGTAGAGTCATTTACATATATGGCTGGATATATACGTTTATTCATGTATGTATTGTACTGTAGAGTCATCTACATATATGGATGGATATATACGTTTATTCATGTATGTATTGTACTGTAGAGTCATTTTCATATATGGATAGATATATTTGTTTGATCAAACATGTATTGTACTGTAGAGTCATTTAGATATATGGATGGATATATACGTTTATTCATGTATGTATTGTACTGTAGATCCTGGGCTATATCATAGCGTGATATTCAAATCGTCCAATATTCACATGGAACGCTTTGGATTATTCTGGACATGCCACTACACCTTTCCAATGTATATAACCATCCCGTTTCACTTCCAATCAAACCGTTTTTCGACCCGTTACCTCCCACACACTACAGGCGATGTATGGCATGAAGCTCTCTCTGCGATCGTTCTCCAAATACGTTCCACCAGATGTTGTGCAGATCTTGGTAGAGACAGGTATGTGTGTACACTTACGTGTGCTAGTCCTGTGTACAGACATATGTGCATACTGTTGTGTGTGTGTTAGTTGTGTACATGCATATGTCGATACTGTTGTGTGTATGTTATTCCTATGTACATGCATATGTATGTACTGTAGTGTGTGTGTTAGTTGTATCCATGCATATGTATGTACTGTTGTGTGTGCTAGTCCTATTTAAATTCCTGTCTGATGAGTACGCGTGTGTTTACATGCATATGTATGTACTGTTGTGTGTGTGTCATATGTATGTACTGTTGTGTGTGCTAGTCGTATTTAGATGTCTGTTTGATGAGTACGCGTGTGTTTACATCCGAGTGTATCTTGGCGTTTGTTTCGCACGTCTTGTTCACGTGTAACGCATTGTCAGCCGTTCGTCTAATCAAAACGTAACGTTTTCCATTCGCCGAACAGACTCTGCCGATGAGTGTCGTTTGCAGAACTGTACGTTTATATATCACCTCACTTGCTTGCACTAAGTGTGTTGTGGTGAATTGTACGTTTACATATCACCTCACTTGCTTGCACTAAGTGTGTTTGTGGTGAACTGTACGTTTACATATCACCTCACTTGCTTGCACTGAGTGTGTTTGTGGTGAACTGTACGTTTAAAGATCACCTGACTTGCTTGCACTAAGTGTGTTTTGTGATCACCTGATTGTTTATCTTATTACCTGTGTAAATAGTACGAATGTCGAAAACGTACGAATATGTAACTCCACTGCACGTGAGTGGTACCGAGTCGGAAAGTACGTTAATGAAGAACGTATAAGTGCCCCAACGTAGATATACTCAATTGCTTTGTACATAAATGAAAACGAATAAGGGCTGCAACGTAGACATACTCAATTGATTTGTACATAAATGAAAACGTATAAGGGCTGCAACGTAGACATACTCGATTGGTTTGTACATAAATTAAAACGTATAAGGGCTGCAACGTAGACATACTCAGGTGATTTGTACATAAATGAAAACGTATAAGGGCTGCAACGTAGATATACTCAATTGGTATGTACATCTATTAAAAACGTATAGGAGCAGAAGCCGAGCTAGGAGGCGTCAAGCGAGAGCTGACTATATTCTTCAGCGACATTGTGGACTTTACGGATATTACGGAAACCTTAGAACTGGACGAATTGGTGGAACTGCTCAGTGAGTACTTGCAGGTGCGACTCGTTGAGTGAAATACGTTTACTATAAGTTTTTATGCGAGTTGGCTGTGGAATGTGGTGCATGGGTTCTAACCAGGTATGCACCAATATTATGCTTATATATATATATGTGTGTGTGTGTGTGTGTATGTGTTTATGTGAGTGTATTGTGTAGATATATATGCGTGTGTGTAGTGTAGATGTATACCTGCATCCAACACACCCACTGATACACATCCTATACTGATACCTACATAAATCCCACCCACTTCTACACACCCCCCCAACACCAACATCCATCCCCCACACGTACACACAGAGTATGTCACAAGTCATATCCGAGACAGAAGGTGTGGTAGATAAGTACATAGGCGATGGTATTATGGCCCTATGGAATGCCCCGTACACCGTCATAGACCATCCGTCTAAGGCGTGCGAAGCCGCTCTGCTGTGCAAAAGCCGTTTGGAGACGCTCAAAGCAGGTGTGTGGTGTGCGTATATGGATTGCGGATGTGTGTGGTGTGGGTGTGGGTGTGTGTACATGCATTGGGGTGAATGTGTTTATGTGTGAGTGTTTGTATGTATGTATGTATGTATGTATGTATGAATGTATGTATGTATGTATGTATGTACGTATATATATGTGTATGTATGTATGTATGTATGTATGCATGTGTGCATGTGTGTGTGTGTGTATATGTATGTATGTATGTATGTATGTATGTATGTATGTATATATGAGTGTATGTATGTATGGATGTATGTATGTATATGTGTGTATGTATGTGTGTGTATGCGTGTTTGTATTTATGTATGTGTATGTGTCTGTGTGCTAAATATGCGTTCATGCAGTTATAATAGTATGGCACTGTCATGGACCATCTATCCATGACGTAGACCATCCTTCACACTTGCAAACAACAATTTTGCTTATATATAACACAACCTATTGACATATACATATAACACAACCTTTTCACACATATACAACACAACCTATTTCCACATAAATAACACAACCTATTCACATATGCATAACACTACCTATTCACATATGCATAACTCAACCTATTCACACATGCATATTACAACCTATTCACACATATATAACAAAACCTATTTGCATATGCATAACACCACCTATTCACATATGCATATCACAACCTATTCACACATATATAACACACCCTATTTACATATGCATATCACAAAGTTCGCGTGCATTCTCCCATACCATGCGTAGATTGGAAGCGTCGAGGGTATCCTGAGATGCGCATGCGTGTGGGTATACACACAGGCAATGCCATTGTCGGCAACTTCGGCTCTGTGGACAGACTCAACTATACAGCGTTGGGCGACAACGTTAATCTGGCCTCAGTATGTGTGTGTAGGTGTCTATGGCATGCGTATAAGTGTGTGTGTAGTTGTCTATAACATGTGTATGTGTGTATGTATGTGTGTATGTATGTGTGTGTGTAGTTGTCCATAACATATGTATGTGTGTATATATGTGTGTATGTATGTGTGTGTGTAGTTGTAGTTAGTTTATAACATGTATTCATGTATGTGTGGGTGTGGGTGTGGATGTGTGTGTATATGTATATATATAAATATATATATATATACATGTATATATATTTATATATATATGTACATAATATGTGTATATGTATATGTATATGTATAATATATACATATTCATATATATATATATATATATGTATATGTATATGTATATATGTCTGTCTTTGTCCGTGTCTGTGTGTCTGTGTGTACTTTTAACAGACACATATATATAAATATATATCCATGTATATATATGTCAATACATGTTTATTCATTGGTTTATTTTATAATATTTATGTTTAACATCCCTCCAATCAGATTGACCTTGCTGACTTATATACGGAAGCGTTTGAACTATACATGGACCGCCAATTTGAGATGGCGGCAGTTCTATTTGTAGAATATTTGGAATCTAACGCAAACGACAAAGCCGCCGAAACGCATTTAAAGGTACGTTTTAACATTAACGTTTTTGTTTGGGGGGGGGTTTGGTCAACAGAGGTACCATTAGTATGTGATGTGTTAGTGTTAAAAATAACAAAGATGTGCTACGGAGAGGTTAGTCGATGTCATATACCTACAGAGATGCCATTGAAATCTGAAGACAGCGTGTGTTAGTGTGAAAAATAACAGAGTTGTTATATGTTTTGACAAGTGTCGTTCATGTCGTGTCAAATTATATGGCACAAACGTGTCACAAGACAAGTCAGTGTTCATGGCAGGTGATATCGTAGTGCCATGCGTATTGAAATATAGTTAGAGTGCGTGTGAAATGACACACTATGTGATATGATAAACTATTAAAAACCCTAAACTCTAAATCGAATACAGAGTCATATAGCGTTCATGTAGTCGTGTAGTGTTCATTTTCGAGTCTCATACAGTTCATTTGTGAGTCATATAGTGTGCATGTATTGGTTCGGTTCGTACAGAGTCATATAGAGTTCATATGATACTGAAGTTGCCGTGCCAATGTGTAGGTAAGTTTAAATCCATGATGTACAAGAATAAATAGGGCTCGATGTTTTACATCAGCAGAGTTGTGTTGATGCCATATCACCACGGAGTGACGTAAGTGTCATTGTGTGTCACATGACTGTGGCCATGGGTTTGTATCAGCGTATTAATGTGTCTGTCAACAGCGCGAGTGAGGCGTTGCGAGTTACGCTAGTCTTAACACGCTGTTGTATTAAAGTAGTAGCAAGTACAAGAACAATGTCGATGTATTGATTTGTACATAGAGTATAATTCAGGGCTATCGTATAACGATGTAAATGTATTGATGTATACATACAATATGACTCATGCTTGTAATATATCAACATCTATGCATGATATGTGCTTATCGCATTGTGTGTACTACAACTAACCACTCCGTCTCATTGCCTACACACCACACAGGCGTGTCGGCATTATGTACTTAATCCGCCAGATAGCTCTTGGGATGGCACCAGACGGATGAACACTAAGTAGACGCCTTCTCCTCTGCTGTATTTAATCCGATAATTATTAGTACGATGTAGCCTTGAGATTACCTACCCTCTGGTTGTATGGAATCTCTGGTTACATGGAATTTAGCCCATTTTTTAATTTTTAACTGAAATAATTAATTGGCCCCACTGTTCAACTAAATATAAAATAAATGTAGCCATTTCTATAACAAGAAAAAAATCTAGTCCGTTTGGATTGCCTTGCCCGTTCATTTGCATCGTGCGTTTAAATGAAAATAGCATAAACGGTGAGTCATCTATGGCTTTAGATGGCCTTAAAGCGAAATTAAATCTTATTTAATTTCAAATAAGCGTCTCCTATATCAAATATAATATAAAGCGTTTATATATTTAATAACATGACGGACAAGGACCAGGTGTTGGCGGGTAGCAGATCAAGATAGGATTTGAATATATGAAATTACATTTGAGTACAAGGTATTACAAGATCAAAATAGTATTTTAATACATGATATTACAAGATCAAAATAGAACTTTAATTTATGGTACTACAAGATCAAAATAGGATTTTAATATATGGTATTACAAGATAAATTTAGAATTTTTAATATATGGTATTTCAAACATAAGACAGTTGGCGGTGCCAATGTGCGGGTAGCAGATCAAAATAAGATTTGAATACAAGGTATTACCAGATCAAAATAAGATTTGAGTACATGGTATTACAAGATCAAAATTAGATTTGAATATATGGTACTACAAGATCAACAGAATTTCAATATATGGTATTTACAAGATCAAAATAGAATTCGAATACATGGTATTTCAAATGTGCGGGTAGCGGATCAAAATAGAATATGAATATGTGGTATTATATAAGAGCAAAATAGAATTTGAATATATAGTAATGCAAATGTGCGAAGTTCAATTCAATGCTCTTGTTATGCATCTGCAATTCGTACCAGCCCTTGACCTTGCACGGACAGGTTCATTCGGCCCATTTTTTGTTTTTGTTGGGTACGTATGTATTGCGAAGAGAGATCATTGAGGGGTTTTTCTCGTGCAAACGAAGAACACATCAAAAGTATATATTTATAGTTCGGGTCGGGAGACAATTTATTGAACCAAGCATATATCATACCAAGGAACATTCTATACACTACATCAATCGGATATGTTTGCGCAAAGTATGTATTAACATATTCATCAAACTTTACTGCAAGGCCCACAGTAATATTTGACCTCGCGGATACCTCTGTACTTCTAGCTCTAGAGCGAGCAATTGATATGAAATCGCTCACAATACGGAGTGCACATTTGTGTTTAAAGACTATCGCAGTATCATACTCGGCATGCTAAGGTTAGCACTTATACTAGCCGATAAAAGTTTCGCTAAAACCTATGTAATTTCATCAAATACCTATCTTCGCCAAAATCGTTGAATTGATATGTTGAACCTTCCCCAAAGCACCTTCATTGTGGAATATCGTTTTTGCGTTTGTGTGCTCTGGAAAAAACACAATGTCAACAAAACCTGCATCGTATATTCACTTTATAAACAAAGCGACTGAATATATCGAAGATACCTCAAATAGTTGGAGGAACAACTTTGACAACTAAATCTTTATCTGCTATGTTTAATATATCGAAGATACCTCAAATAGTTAGAGGAGCATCTTAGACAATTAAAACTTTATCTGCAATGTTTAATACATTGTAAATACCTCAAATAGTTAGAGGAACATCTTAGACAACCAAAACTTTATCTGCTATGTTGGCATCGCACTGCTATCAACAACCTATTCCAAACCGTGGTCTGATAAAAACTCTTTTTCTATTTGGTCAGGATTCACCGAAACCCAACCTGTTGGCGCAATGTTCCAGTCTTTTCGACCACTTTCGACCAAAAATTCAACGAAAGCGATTCAACGCATATCTCTCGCAGCAGAAGTTGCTAGTGCATTTGCTATTTTCGTAGCCGGGGCATCGCCCAGAGTTGCGGCAGCAACGCTTTTTAAAACTAAGTTCTCTATCACGACGGTCGCAAGTGCGCTCAGACACACGGTCGCGGCAACGTAGTTCGAGTGGGTTGCTTCGCTCTTCTTCCATTTCATCCTCTTCATCCTGACTGTCGTTGTTCACGTTATTGTTGTTTCCTATAGGATTGATGGTAATATCTGAGCAGCCGTGATAGTTCTGGTTTCCGGGGGCTAACCACTCCCACTGCAGTACACACCCTCCGGGACAGCTCAAGCCTGCTGGAAGCCTGTACGTTTCAGAGAATCTCTTGGGTTGGCTTTCACCGCTATTCACATTCACATTGTTGACACGTGTGCCCCGTCCGTTGGCTAGTTGCATTAGGTTTTCATTCAAACAGCTACTGCTAACCAAAGTTCCATCACATATACGAACCTCAACAAACCCATTGTTATGGCGGATCGTGATATCCCACTCAACATCAATTGTACCTCCCTGGGTGAAGGTAGCGACACTGGATCCTGCTCTAGTGCCACCTCGGCCACAAATAGCGTTGGACGGGCCAGCGGAAGTACCGCCGCGAGCACGAGGTGACCTGAGAAACCCGTGGGCATACACCAAAGAGGCGGCACAGGCCAAGACAAGTGACTTAAAGATCTGCATCGTATCTTTCTTCTGAAGCTCAAGGGACGCTTTAATGATTGTATTCGTATTATGAGGTAGAGTGCCGCATGACAATGTTTGCGTCGCGGTTATATACTCGAGAGTAGGGGCAGCAGCTGTGAACAAGGTAGATTATCAATTCTTCTTTGTTTACCAATCAAAAACATAGAAGAGTTTAAAACAGCGCCATATCTCATCTCATACAGCTACCAAATGCTGCATGAACTTCTGAAGTTGCGATTAAATTTCAATCATTGAAAGTATTTACTATACAAATGCCTCCGAGCCCATGAAAAAAAAAAGATGAGTCTCCAAGAAATTCTTAATTTTGTCGCCCTGTTTCAGTTTTTTTCCAGCTGTCCAGAGACTCCTGTATATTTAATTACATGTTTATATACCTCTCGTCTAACAATCGCTACTTGACACCCTTTACTTTAGTTTTGATTGGTCTCCCCTGTACGGCTGCCTAGCATGGATTCAATTTTACACCTCAATTTGACAATTTCGTTTGAATTTTTTATTTTCAATCTTCAATTCTAGTTTTCAAAACAAAATACAACAGTTATAACCGTTGAAAAAAAAATAGATTTCTCCCACTAAATATCTTTGTACGTTCATTTGCCATTGGGCATTGGGTAATGAGTGTAAATAATTGTATCATTTATTTAAAAATAAAATAAAAATAGGTAGCATGACATATTGGACATTTGGACTACGTCATAGACAACTATTTAGATAGCACGAGGTGTAAATTGATTGCTCGTTTTGTTTTTGGTTTTTGGTTTTTGTTCACGATGTTTCCTTTTCGTTTCAATAAAAACTGCTGGCCAGACTCAAAGTAGGATAGCCACCCGTGGCGTCACATCGCCAGGACGCCAGACGCCACTGTCCATGCCGTCACGACTCAACCTACGCCGTCTCTTGTTAAAGTCCGCGGAGGGATAGTCTTTATTTCCGAGTCATATCACTCATAAGTCTTATATAACCTGATATCGAAGTTATCGAAGTGATATTTTATTTTGCGGCACAATCTAATTAATTTTCTCACTCTCTCATAGTAGAGTAGTCCAGTTACCGTAGTCCGACAAAATAGTCGTATAAATTTGACGGTCGAGGACTGATGAAGGTGTGAACTGTGATGACTGATGAGCTGATGAGGAGTTGAGGACTCGACTCCTAATAAACGACGGACGTCGGACGACGATGTATAATGTAACGCCGAATTTAACGCGTGACGAGTCTCGCGGCTTCGGAAGTCGGAAGTCTCAAATTTTCGAAGTCGAGATTCGAGAGTCCAGAGTCGTGGCTGTCGAGGTCTACTTTTACGGATTTTTATATTGAATTTTCTTTTTGAAATGGCATTTTTCAAAAATTTCTTCTGACCCAAATTTATAAAATAAAATTGGGTTGAGGAATATGCTGGCCTGGTAAACAACAGTCAACAGACAAATTTAAAAATATTTCTAAAATATTTTATGTCCGACGTGTCGTGACAAGTCTTCTCAGTGTCATGACGTATATCGAACTTCTGACTACATATTATCGACATGTCTCGTCGACATGTCTCGTCCAGGGTAGCAATCTAGTTTCCGACGGTCTTGAAACGTCGTTGTCTTATACCAGGCCAGGGTGTATTCCGCTCATCCGCTGTAATTTGTAGTATACTTTCTTTTCCTCTCATTCTCTCTCTCGAGAGAGAATAAAAAAGAGACATTATACATTATAGTATATACCATGATCATCCGCACTTAGAGTCGCAGAGACGCAGGTTGCAGACTCGCGTAGACCTTAGTGAATGAGTGTAGTGGAATTCAATATTGTTTTTATAATCACACAAGGATGTAAATATTTAACTCAAACAAACAATAGAGGCCTAAAAACGGTTGATAAAAAAAAAGGAATGAACTCTTTCTCGAATGCCCTAAAATTAAAATGATGGTTTACAGGGGCACAACATACAGAAGCGGAGAAACCCTCGAAGAAAGGACCGACAAATATGCACCAGAATTCCAAAATTCCAAGCCCCAAAAATGAAGCCGGGCTAGTCTGTACATAAATCTTGAATCAGAATTCCAATACAACAATACAAATGCCAATATTTTATAAGCATAATTGCATACTAAAACCACTTTCTAGTTTCTGTAGTAAATTAGTCATAGAGGAGAAAAATGTGATTGCAAAGAAATGACGCAGAATTTACGCGCCTATTAAAGCCGGCGACAGTATATACCGATCCTCAGATTTTCACTGCCAGAATAAAGTTTGAACTCTCATTTCAAACCAATGGTGTGCTGCAAAACTATCATCGCTTTGGCCTGGATGGCCATCGCTGCAGGCGTGACTGAGGCTTTGCCCAGCACGGGATATTTGTCTTGTCGGTATCGAAGACAGACTTATACCCAGGGACAGAGAGTTACAGGGCAAACACTAACTTGCATATGCTCGAATGGCAAATGGATCAGTTGTGTCGGGAACAATGGGAATGGCAACTACCAAAACAACAACAATAGCTATCTAAACAACGACCAAAACAACAATCAGAACAATAACAATAACAATGATGGTAACCAGGTGGATATGGAGATGGAGGAAGAGCCAGAATACTTCCCACCCATCGGCTTGAATGAGCAATTGGATGCGCTAAGGTGGGCTTCGGTCGTTTCTTGGACAATTTCGACAACGAGGATTTCATAATTGATTTTTCAGATACAAACGCAGTGCCGGTAGACAGTGAAGGCAATGGTGGCACCGCTCTATAAGTGAACATAAATGGATTCACAGTCATGCAGCTAGCAAACATGGCGCTAACTCGCTTTCGTATCGGCCCATGCGGTATCAATCTGCCTCATGTGCACCCCCGTGGCACAGAGACCATATATGTCGTCAACGCCATGCTTACTGTCGGTATGTCAAAATATGTTATACCTCGTTATAATACTCCTGTATGTTTTGAATATTCGTGTCTCCGTATATTATTTACCTTTATTGTTGGCACAGACAAAGATTGCGTTGCAATGAATATGTCATATGTACTGATCCTCTTCATTTCCCATCAATTGGCAGGTTTCGTGGCTGAAAGTAGTCGTCTAGTTCTGAATGACATCGAGACCGATCAATCAACGTTTTTCCCTCAAGGTCTTCTACATTATCAGCAAAATATGAACTGTGAGCCTGCTAGTTTCATCTCTATTTTGGATAGTGCAGACCCTGGACTATCGGTAATTGCTGCTGCTCTCACTGCGCTTCCCGATGAAGCGCTCAAAGCTGTACTTGACGAGGATGTCTCCTTCGTCACACAGCTTCGTCTGGGGCTACCCGCAGGTCCGGCGCGAGCTCGTTCCGAGTGTTTGGCACGTTGCAGCATGGCAATGGACACCCCTCTGGATCCTTAAGCGTTAGAGCTTCTAACAGATTTTAGATACTTTCAAACAGTGAACACACGCACTGTGTGCAATCTTTACTACTTTGAATAAATCAAAATTTGTTATTTCAGTATGTCTATGCTTTTACATTCTGCGTTGAATACTTACTAAATTGAATGAAAGTGTGAATAATGCATATGAAGATCATCCAATAGTTGAAAATAATGTGTCAGGGACTTTCTGAAATTTCGACTTATTACAAGCGCTAGTTATTTGTCTATAGTACAATTAAACGATAACATTGGCGCAAAATCACGACAAATCCCGTTCACTATCCTCATATTGTATACGATGTGGGTTAATACATCTACAGGCTTCAGCCAATTTTGAAAAGCTCATAAATAAACAACTCATAGTGAAGAATTCAACACTGCCAGTTACCCACAATATGTATATAAAGGTAGACACACAAAAATTAAGTATATAT